GCATGCCAGGCGAGGGCACTACCGCTTGAGCCACATCCCCAGCCCTAGGAAGGTCCTCTTAAAAGCAGCTAATACAGATCATTTCAGTAAAAGGGTATACTCATTAATGGAAAGGAAGAATAATTAATAATCTTGGTTCTTACAGTATATCTTCTCCTTTCTAGGGTAAATAACTATAATTCTTTGTATTTTTAGAGACAGATGATCAAAAATGACAGAAAACTTTAAGAGAAATGTAACTCGTTAGAAGCTTTATAGCTATATTCATCTTACATACCTGAAAAATTCAAAGTTGAGACAAGCCTTTGGCAAGAAAAACTTATCATCTTGTTTGAACCATAGTTTGCTCATAGCTGTATCCTATGATGAAGAAACAACTTGGTTAGGGAAATAGGGACACATTCAGCAAAACTGTTMAATTAAATCACTTGTCAGGAGGACAGAAACAATCAATAGCTGATGTTTTGTACTGGAGGTGGGTATTCCATGGTCTTAAAGCATAACCAGAGGATCTTGTTGAAAGCAGGAAACTTGAGAAAGAAGTCTGTTGACTCCTTTAATAGAGAGAAATCAGCTTCCTATTAGGGAGATGGAAGCCTATAGCAAAGAAGCCAATACCAACTACCTTGTGCTCATCTTTCTGGACACAGGAGGCAAAAGATGTAAGGCAATATGATAGAAGTGATGGTATGATTCCTCCAAGATTAAATTATAGAAGACTTTGGCTTCGATCTCAATCATTCACTTTCCCTTTTGGATCAATCACTTCAGGAGAAGCTGGTTGTCATGTCAAGCAACTCTATGAAGACACCCATGTGGGGAAGAACTAAGGCTGCCAACAACCACATAACTGAACTAGGAAGAGAATCCTCTAGCTCTAACTGAGTCTTCAGATGATGTTAGCCCTGGCCAATAGCTTGACTCTAACCTCAGATGGATAAAGCAATACACAATTATGAAACTTCCAGATTTTTGACCCTCAGATACTTATAAACATAGTAAATGTTTATTTATTTATTTATTTATAACACGTGTGAGTCCTTTTGTTATTTATTTATTTAGGTGCCAGGGATTGAACCCAAGGGTGCTTAAACACTGAGCTACATTCCCCAACCCTTTTAATTTTTTGAGGCAGGGTCTTGCCAAGTTGCTGAGGCTGGCTTTGAACTTGTGATCCTCCTGCCTCAGCCTCCTGAGTCATTGAGATTATAGGTGTGGGCCACTGCACTCCGACCCCCCCCCACTTTTTTAATATTTATTTTTTAGTTGTAGTTGGCATAACACCTTTATTTTATTTATTTATTTTTAAGTGGTGCTGAGGATCGAACCCAGGGCCTCACACATGCTAGGCAAGGGCTTTACCACTGAGCCACAACCTCAGCGCCCCCAGTTCCTTTTTTAAGTTTTATTTATAATACTAGGGATTGAACCCAGAGCCTCATGTATGCTAGAAAAGCATTCTACTACTGAGGTACAACCAAAGGCTGGGGGTATAACAGCACATATTTAGCATGTACAAGGCCCTGGGTTCAATCCCCACTCCTAAGAAGACAACCAATAAAAAATAGGAGAGGTAAACAAGCTTTCTCTTTGTATAACCTAATATATATCACATAAAGATGACTTGAATGTTTTCTCCTCTTTTTAAAGATAAATACTTGTCTCCTTAATAAACTAGTTACTCAAGATAAATTAAATTTCATGTTCCTAAACAGTGATTCTTGTTTCATTGATTTAATCTGAATGTTAGGTCATTTAGACGAGATAAAAACAATGAAAGATACATATCTACAGTAATGACTTTTAGTTTTTAAGTTTAGAAAAGAGAATATGCTGTGATAATTTGATTCATTTTTCTACATTCTTTATCCAAGGTGTGAAACAATGACATGAAAAGAAAATTCTGAAAAAGTGGGAAAAATACACTTTTCAGTCACCCTTCCCACTGACTTATAACACCATTAACATCACATAGCCACTGTGTCATAATGAGAATTATTATTATTATTTTGTGTGGGTGGTGCTGGGGATCCATCCCAGGGCCTTGTGCGTGTGAGGCAAGCACTCTACCAACTGAGCTATATCCTCAGCCCTGAGAATTATTTATATTTAAAAAAAAAATTTTATCTTTACTTTTTAGTTTTAGTTGGACCCAATATCTTTATTTTATTTTTATGTGGTGCTGAGGATCGAACTCAGGGCCTCACACATGCTAGGCGAGCACTCTACTGCTGAACCACAATCCCAGCCCCCTGAGAATTATTTTTAAGAGGAGAAAATCCAAAGCTTTTCTTGGGGAGGCTCTCTTCTATGTTTCAGAAATTCTTTCTTATCTCTAACTTTCATGATGCAACATAAACCTACTTCCTTATTGGGTCTTCAGAGGGTATGGAAACGAGGCTGGTACCTTTTGACAGACTTGTAGTTATAGCCCAGATGTTTTTTTCTGTAAAGAAAACAATTCTTGGGGCTGGGATTATGGCTCAGCGGTAGAGTGCTCACCTAGCACGGGCGGGACCCAGGTTCRATTCTCAGCACCACATAAAAATAAAGGCATTGTGTTGTGTCCATCTACACCTAAAAATATAATAAATATTTATTAAAAAAGAAAGCAAGCAATTCTTGGGCTGGGGTTGTGGCTCAGTGGTAGAGCGCTTGCCTAATGTGTGTGAGGCTCTGGGTTCAATCCTCAGCAGCACATAAAAATAAATAAATAAAGGTATTGTGTCCTTCTACAACTAAAAAAATAAATATTAAATAAGAAAGCAATTCTCTAGATTCTATGCTGTTTAGTAGCTTTGTTTGCTTCCTTGCTTGAATCTTTTTTAACCTTCTTATATTTCTTATTTTTTTTCTGTGACATTTTCTAAAAGATGTGAATTCTACAAATCAACTAAGTACCAAATACAAGCCAGGACAACACAGTGAGACTCCATCTTAAATAAATAAATAAATAAATAAATAAATACTGTTCTAGCACATTACCTTAATAAGAGCAGGGTATGCTGTTGCTTCTTTTTCTAATGATACAATCTCAAAATTTGTAGGAATAAATTCATTCTTTGTTGGAAGTTTAAATTTCCCATTTAGGTCAGCGTTTTGCCATTTCTAGATGAATAAAACACACACACACACAAAAGCAATTAGAATCTGATTAAGAGTTTTTAAAACAGTGCTTTTGTTCAATATCCAAACAAATATTAACGGGATAAATGTCACACAGCATTCTTTTCCATCACATATAAAAAGACTACAACTGGAACCTATTGTGGGTTTTTATGAAACTTGAGTTGGTCTTTCTGGCACAAATGAAGATTTTTGTATTCATCTGTCTTCCCCTTCCACATCTCCAAAATGACCAGCTGAGGTTAAGGAAAAACCTGAATGGGCTAGAGGAATGTAGCTTCGTGGTAGGGCACTTGTCTAGTATACACCCTGCCTTGGGTTCAATCCCCATTACTCCTATACTCCATGAATCATCTGAGACCGAAACACAAAGAAGTTGACTAGTCCACATGAAGACCATGATTATTCTAGTTCTTTAAAGAGGAAAGAATAATCTGTACAGGGGATATATTTCCACAACTGTGAGACAATAGGTCATTTAAATAAGAGTCACACTTTTGGCTAGGTTACCCCCATACATGGGTTGAAAGCCAGATTAAAGAGGACTTTTTTGTTTTTTATTTTATTTTTTCTATTTTTTATTGGATATTCTTAGTTATACATGATAGTACAATCCATTTTGATAAAATTATACAAGCATGAAATACATTTTATTCTAATTAGGACCCCATTCTTGTGGGTGGGCATGTTGGTGGGGTTCACTTAGGTATTTTTATATTTGTACATTGGAAAATTATGTTAGATTTATTCTACTATCTTTCCTATACCTACTCCTCTCCCTTTCCTTTGTTCCCCTTTGTCTAACCTATTGAACTTTTCTTCTTCTCCTCCCTCACTTTATTGTGGTTTAACTTCCACACATCAGTGAAACCATTTGACCTTTGGTTTTTTGGAATTGGCTTATTTCACTTAGCATGATGAGTGTGATAAACACACCTGTTTTGAAATAAATCCTAATTCTCCTATGTGGACAAAAAGAGCAATGATATATTAGGAGGTATAATTCACTTCCTAAATAAAGCAATTACAGTATGAATCCCAGAGACTACTCCTACTCACTGTTCCAACAAGACTTCTGAGCCCTCCAGAGCCCCTGCATCTGTTTTTCATGTTCCCTACTTCCTCACTGCTTCTTATCTTTCTTCTTATCTGTGCTTCTCTGTGTACCCTGTACTCCCATGCTCTTTGACTGCATGAGATTAGGAGTCTACTTTACAGGCCAGCTTGTTTGGCAGACACACAAGAAAGGGACCAGAGAGCCATTTCTTTATGCAAAAGCATAAATTCCACCTCTCTAGCTCCTTGTTTACTCCTCTCAGGGCACTATAGACAACAGAAGGCCATCGATCTCCACACTCTAGGCCTTGAGTTGTTTTAGAGCCCAGAGTTGGTGGATCTAGGGAGCTCATGTTCTTGAGGTTCCTCACATATCAGGCTTATTTATAAGTGTGTTCACCCTACCTTAATGACTTCATCTGGTATAGCTTCCTGTTTGTATTGGGTCCCATACCATTCTTCTGTGCGATCAGTTTTTCCTTCAAAAGATTTGGAAACTATTGCAACCCTAGAGATAGATGGAAAAAACAAATAGAAAAAACCTGTAAACTCATTTAACTGTATACACAAATTTATAGAATCTTATTCAAGGAAATGTAAACATCCAATAATGTGATGGGTCTCTTAAGATCCAACAAATCCTGTAAACTTTAGTCTAAACAGGTAATATGTGTCAGGTTTCTGATTATAGTTGCTATTATCCTTTGGTTATAGCCCCTTATTTTTAGTATGAAAAAGTGCTTACAGCAGATATTCTTATAGGAATGCTATTGACTAATTTAAAAAGAGTAGCAAAGGAAAAAGATAGAACAAGCATATTGGTAATAGTCCAAACAAAACAGTACTCTTTCCCAAGAGCGGCTCAGGATTAAGAGGAATGGCTAAGAAAACCCAATGACTCATCCAGAGATGAGACACCTCAAAGGAACCTTTATAATTACTTGCTAAATTTGTTTGTTTGATTTTTTTTCTTGCCACAGACCAGCATCAAATATATTCACTATATGCCCTTTGTCTTTTCTGCTGCTAGAGAAGGGGACAAGACCAAAAATTGCCTATTTTTTGGTTTATAAAAGCTTTTTTTTTTTTTTTGGTGGGGGATACTGGGAGATAAAATTAGGGGTACTTTACCACTGGGCTACATACCCAGCCCTTTTTATTTTTTCTTTTTTATTTTGGAACAGGGTCTCACTAAATTGCTGCAGCTGGCCTTGAATTTGGGATTCTCCTACCTCAGCCTCCCCAGTCACTGGGATTACAGGTGTGTACCACTGTATCAGGCTAAAAACTTTTTTGTTAAGAGAGCAGAAATGGTCCAGAAAAGAAGTCAAATGGGAATTAAAAAAAAAAAAAAAAAAAAAAAAAGACTCAAGAAGGGAAGGTCGAGGTAAAACAATGTCAAAAGGTAAATGAACAGAAGATTTTAAGAACAGAGGAGCAAAAGAAGTTCTTTATTAGAGGAACTTTATAAGATCTCCCAGGGAACAACAACAGGGACATTTCTTTCTGCCTGTGCTTTCTCCTAATTAATTAAGTTGGAATCATTACAGCCATCAGCAGACTCAACCCAAGGCTGGGATCAAGTCTATTTTGAATTGTGTGATCAAAAAATTCTAGCTAGTTCACTTGGATGGTTTGGTGTGAAGTCAGTTCCCCTGTATTTGGTTCTGCTTATCCCCAACTCCTGCTTTTTTTTTTTTTTTAATACTGGGGACTGGACCTAAGGGTACTTTGTTACTGGGCTACATCCCCAACCCCCCCCCTTTTATTTTTTTAAGTTTTGAGACTAGGTCTTGCCAAGTTGCCAAGGCTGGACTTGACTTGCAATCCTCCTGCCTTAGCCTGCTAAGTGGCTGAGATTACAGAAGTACGCCACCATGTCAAGCAATTCTGCTACTAGATCCATGTCTGTACTTGCTTGTACCTGTCCTCCTAGATGTTGGTTCTAGCCTCTGAATGTTGGCCTCGCAGCCCAAAGCTTAGTATATGCAATCAAAACACCTCTCTACTGAATACACATCCATTTTTAGAGTCCCGATCTCTGTGTTCCAAACCTTGGACCCTTTTTGGACATTCCAAGCTGTAACATCTAGTTGTCTGAACTACTTTGTTTTTTTCTTATTTATTCTAGACAAGATGTTCTACCTGGCTGACTGGACTTAATCTTATCACCTGCTTTTGGGTGGAAATACTAAGCAATCTTACTCACTTGGTTGTCAATATGGCTGACTCATCTTGCAGCTCCTACTGTTCCTTGTCTGATTTACCTGCCATGACCACTACAAGTTCTAGAAAACATGCTAAAAAAGGAGAAATATATTCCATAGAAACATAGGAGGAATCCAAGGGTTTAGCAGATGAAACAGTTCTGTCATTATTTCCAGAAGAAGTAATGTGTGTTGGTAGTTCCAGAATACCTTTTGTGGGGTATATATAGAACTCACCTGGTCAATTGAAGGGTGCGACCTGTTTCTTAAGAGCATTCAATACATGACAGAGCCTACTGAGATGGCCCTAGAAACAGCTGAATCTCTCAAAGGTTCAACTGTTTGAATCTTTCAAAGAATGAGTAGATTGATTCTCAAGACCACTAAAGAACATATGTAGGGGGCTGGGGTTACAGCTCAGCGGTAGAGCATTACTTCGMATGTGTGGGGACCTGGGTTCAATCCTCAGCACCACATTAAATAAATAAATAAATAAATAAAGGTATTGTGTCCAACTAAACTAAAAAATAAATATTTTTAAAGAATGGTTTAATAGGGGGCTGGGGATGTGGCTCAAGCGGTAGCGCGCTCGCCTGGCATGCGTGCGGCCTGGGTTCGATCCTCAGCACCACATACAAACAAAGATGTTGTGTCCGCCGAAAACTAAAAAAAAAAAAAAAATATTAAAATTAAAAAAATAGTTTAAAAAAAGAACATATGTAGGAAGTAGAAGAACCTGGTTGAAATGTGTATTCCCATTTTTCTCTTCTATGAGATGACAGATTTTGGAAGAGTTCATTACATGGGTGGCTTTGGTTTCTCTGGATGATAACCACCGGCACCAGAATAATGGATAGGAAAATGAACACAAGTTAACAAAGATTGACACATTCATTTGGCAGTGAACCTGCCCTCTGAAATAAAACTTTAAACTCATTTCAGAGAGATAGTAAAAACGTTCAGGAAACGCTGCCAAGTCTGATGCTCTGGAGAAGACTATATGACACAGAGAGAAGCAAATACTGAAGCCCATCCAGTAATGCTCAGGTCAAAAAAAAAGAGAAGAAGAGAGATATGTCAGGTACAATTCTTAGGGATTTAGATAATTCCATACCAAGTAAAAAGTAAGCACATGGGTAACTTTTGAAATATCATAAGAAAGTAAATAAGTAGAAAAACAGTTCAACTAGGCACAGAGGCGCATGCCTTAATCCCAGTGTCTCAGGAGGCTGAGGTAGGAGGATCAACTTAGCAAGGCCCTGTCTCAAAGTAAAAAATAATAAAGGGTAGGGATGTACCTCAGTGGTTAAAGTGCCCCTGGTTCCCTAGTACGAAAGAAAGAAAGGAAGGAAGAAAGAAAGAAAGAGAGAGAGAGAGAAGGGGGGGGGAGGGAGAGGGAGGAAGGAAGAGAAGGAAGGAAGGAAGTGAAAATAAAAACATAGTTCCTCAAACTAGGCACATATTAAATATTGGACTACAAAAAGAGACAACTTCGTAGACCATAAGTTTGTATATTATTAAGAATTTCAAAACTGAAATATACAATGGAAGGATATATATACTGAAAATAAATAAAGTTGGGGAAGGGAATGACAGTAGAGATAAGCTTATACACAAGTCAGATCCATATAAAGATCTATGAATCGAAGTGTGGAAGTACAGGGAAGAACACTTAAATTCAGAGAAAAGGGGAAAAAAAGGCAACTCACATTACTTGAGGTATACTGAAGAYAGCTGTATTACACACCATCTCTTAAAAGCCTAAAAAACTGTTCTGATGACAGGCTCTTTTTACACATGGGGGAAGCAAGAACTGACATGATCCTTGGAAAGGTGACAAAAAAAATGACCATTTCTTTTCATATTAAAAATTTAAAGAGTAAGACAAGAAAATGTCAGCCTAGAATGAATGCTGATTGTTGACTTCAAGTCAGCACATTTAAACTGCAGTTCCCAGAGAATGGCAAAAAGTCCCTGAGAGAAAAAGAGGAAGACAGCCAACGAATGAGAACAGGTCTCATAGGCAACTGTGATAAATTCAAACAGGACCAGTGGAAAGGGCACAGACCTGGCAATCAGAGACTTGAATTCTGGTAGACATTCTGACTCACTTTCTTGAGACCTTGCCAAAATCTCAGTTAAGATCTAAATCAAGGGTTAGGATTGTGGCTCAAGTGGTAGATTATTCACCTAGCATGGGTGAGGCACTGGGTTCGATCCTCAGTACCACATAAAAATAAAATAAAGATATTATGTCCACCTAAAACTAAAAAATAAATATTAAAATAAAATATCTAAATCAGGCAAGTCAGTTAGCCTCTCTGGGCTTCAGTTTCATGACTTTTTAAATAGAGATTCAAATTAGATAAACTCTATCCTCCCACTAATAGAATCCTACAAAATCATATCAAATTAAAAAAAAATTGGGGAGGAGGCAATGCTGGAGATCAAAGGTTTTTCACACACTAAGTCCAGTGAGTGACGCCCTCAATCCCTCACATCAGGTTAAAGAAACCTAATAGAAGAAAAAAGATGTGTGTGTAGGGGAAGTGGGGGAACTCAACAATACTGATGAAATTTAAAATCAAAGAAGGCTTTAGAGCTGAAGAAATTAAGGCCATGAAAAATCCCAAAGACCATTTTTAAAGTTTCTTAAAGTAAGAAAGAGTCAAGGAGGAACAAATCAAAAAAGGTTGGGCTAAAAGCTTAAAAATTCAATCAACTTTTATTGAGCCCTAACCAGCTTAAATCTTGGGAAAGATAAAAATACAGTTACTATCTGAAAGAAACCCACAATCAATAGGATACATGACTTAAAGCAAAATGTGATGAGCTGATCTCCTGTTAGTAGATGATAGGACTACACTCCTTATTTACATTGTCTTTAAGGAAGCATGGGTCTTTAAACTGTAAAGGAAGACTAAAGTGAAAAAAGGTAAAATCCAGGATAAGTAAGCCAAGTGATTCAAATGATATCACATTTCAAAGCATATAAGTCATATTCTCTGATGCTTAGGCAACTAAAAAATTCGAAGAAAATCACTATCCATCATCTTTTAGAAATGCTGGAAGATAGTAGAAAAGAAAGAAGACTAGAGATGGGCAAAGGCTTTCATTTTCCAAAAGGTAAGAGTTTGAATACCACGGATTAGGCATTGGATTGTGATGGAATCCTACATTCAACAGCCAGACTATTAAATTTTAAGATAAGAAGACAGTTATTAGCAGGACTTGAGTGGATTTACCAAGAATAACTCCTTTCCTCAAAATGGAACTTTATTTACAGTCATGTTGTAAAGACTCTCCTGCTAGCTGGTGTGATGGCACATGCTTCTAAGCCCAGTAACTCAGGAGATAAGGCAGGATGATTGCAAGTTTGAGGACAGCCCCGGCAATTTAGTGAGACTCTGTTTCAAAATAAACCAGTAAATGGGAATGGAAACACCTTTTGACCCAGTTATTCCACTYCTCATTCTATACCCAAAGGACTTAAAAACAGTATACAACAGGGACACAGCCACATCAATGTTTATTGCAGCACAATTCACAATAGCTAAACTGTGGGACCAACCTAGATGCCCTTCAGTAGATGAATGGATAAAGAAAATGTGGTACATATATACAACTGAATATTACTCAACAATAAAAGAGAATAAAATCATGGCATTTGCATGTAAACAAATGGAGTTGGAGAATATAATGCTAAGTGAAGTTAGCCCATCCCAAAAAACTAAATGCCAAATGTTTTCTCTGAAAGGAAGCTGATTCATACTGGGGTTGGGAAGGGGAACATGGGAAGATTAGACGAGCTCTAGATAGGGCAAAAGAGAGAGAAGGGGCAAGGGGGTAAAAAAGATGGTGAAATGAGATAGACATCATTACCCTAAGTGCATGTATAAAAACACGAATGGTGTGAATATACTTTGTATATAACCAGAGATATGAAAAATTGTGCTCTATATGTGTAATGAGTTGTAATGCATTCTGTTATAAATAACAAATTAGAATAAAAAAATTTTTAAAAAAGATTATCATGTCATGTTCGTACATAAATACGCCACAGGAAATTTTATCTTGACATCTAAGTAGAAAGAAAAATCAAAAATAAATAAATGAGTGAAATTAATATCAGTAGAGTAGAGGAAGGAGAATGGTGGAAGGGGGAAGGGGAGGAATGGAGGGAAAAGGTGAGAAATGTGAACTGAAATTGAATTCCATACATGTAAGGATTTTTTGAAATGAACCCAACTACTGTGTATAACTATAATGCTCTAATAAAAATTAAAAAAAAAAAACAGTAAAAATGGCTGAGGATGTAGCTCCATGATGAAATACCCCAGATTCAATCCCTAGTATTCTCTGTGTACTTGTAGACTTAGTATGATAAAACAGGCACCAAATAATAGATCAAAGAAAGAGGGTAACAATACTGCAAATCCCTTTGAACAGGTAAAATTTTTTTCCAAAAATTTGGACTGGAGAAATGGAACTGGACACCTTGGTATTTAATAGATTTCCCTGTTCTTGGAGGAATTAATTTTATTTATTTATTCATTTTTAAATAATGCCTGGCTTATTCATTATTTTTAATTAATTTTATTTATTCTTCAGTTTGTTTATTTGTTTTTTTTAATATTTTTTAAATTGCCAATGGACCTTTACTTTTGTTTATTTATATGTGGTACTAGAATCGAACCCAGTGCCTCACACATGCTAGGCAAGTGCTCTACCACTGAGCCACAACCCCAGCCCCTTGTTTATTTGTTGATGGTGCTAAGAATCAAACCCAGGATCTCACACATTCTAGGCCAGCACTCTACCACTTAGCTACATCCCCCAATCCTTTGGTAAAAATTTTTTTTCTTTTGAGACAGGTCTCACTAAATCGTCCAAGCTGGCTTTGAACTTTGCCATCAAATTTAGAAACATGCAATTTAAACAAAAGTAAAATGTATACTCCAGCAAATTCACTCCTACAAAGAGTTACTGGGTCAAATTACTAAGTCTAGGATATGATTTAAATCATGACTTTTGGTGGAATGGAGGTATAGCTCAGTATTTAGTATCAAGAGGCTGTGGGTTTAATCTCTAGCACCCAAATAAATAATTTTTTTCCTTGCAAAAAAAGCATTTTTATTGCATGATATAATATAAAATAGCTTGTATTTGAATAATACCTTTAAAATTTGGTAAATAATTTTGCATGACACAAAAGATAAAAATATTATCCCCATTTTGCAGGTTCAAGAAAATTAAGTGAGAGCCAGTGTTCATAACATTATATTGAGTTAACTTTTCATAAGTCTCCTTTACAGGACTCTGAACCTGAGTTTCACATTAGTAATTTAATAAACACTGGATTGAAGAAAACAGGTGATCTATCCAAAATTTCATGACTAGTAGGTGACAAAACCACAAAACTAGTCATTGGAAATAAGATTACAGATCATCTACGGAGTTCTATTATTACACTTAAAACTCTTCCTTCCCATATTAATCCTTAGTGCCCTCAACAAAAAAAGAGTGGGAGAAAAAATGACACTGATGGGGTTAAAATGCAGGTTTTATTTTACTTTTTGTACTTGGGATTGAACTCAGGGGCACTCAACCACTGAGCCACATCCCAAGCTCTATTTTGTATTTTATTTAGAAACAGGGTCTCACTGAGTTGCTTAGCACCTCACCATTGCTGAGGCTGGCTTTAAACTTGTGATCCTCCTGCCTCAGCCTCCCCAGCAGCTGGGATTACAGGCCTGTGCCACCACACCCGCAAAACACAGGTTTTAATATGGTCCCACTGAAGAATGAATGAACTGAAGGGAGCCCCTGATGGTCTCCCAATGTTAAAGGACTGTATACAAGTTTGTTGTGTTATCCCAACTTGGAGGAATTCAGTCAGAATGCAGGTATTATGGGCTGGGGTTGTGGCTCAGTGGTTGAGTGCTCACCTAGCACATGCAAAACCCTGGGTTTGATCCTCAGCACCACATAAAAAA